CAATTTAATCTGTCACTTCAAATAATATGTTGAAACATGTGGGGTCTGTGTACCGCTCTCTGCTGTATACTTGTACCACACAAGTGTACCAAGAGACGCTCGCGAAATTAATTGTTGCGTTTATGTCGCTCGCACACCCCACGGTTTTGCTTTGAAAAATCATCTCTCATTGTACATGAACTGAGAGATTTATAGCTCTTGGACTACTTGCATGAATCGACTTCGTTTCAATATAAGCGTTAGAAGCCATAATTTCTCGCTTGACTTTCGTGCTCTAAAATATTTGATACGGTACCATATCTATATTGCTAGGTACTATTGCTACTATTTACAAGTAAGTCTGAGTTGCTATAAACATAGAGTTTAAGTTTTTATTTCTATGCCGAATCAAAATGTTCATTTATTTAAACAGAATACTTTTGTCCTACAAAAAAAAGGTTTTGACGAGACATGCAAGTTGCTGTAGCTACTTCTATCATGATCCTAATTTATCTATTCCCAGCTTCTACGATTACGCGAATGGATCGGGTGAAGAAGTAGTGTTACTGAGAAACGGATCGCCGGAAAAAAAGATAACAAAAAAAACTATTGATAATTTTGCAATCCGGCTAATCAGTACAGTAACCAACGCCTACACTTTCAAGGCTTGTTTGCAACCCATCATATAAAAATAAGCTAAAACCATAAGAAAATACCCTGTTTCCTACTGCCGCTTATTCCAACAGACTTAACCAGCCCGTTTTGCAATAAAGGCCGTATCGCTTAAAGACACCTAATAACTTCCGCGTACCGCACAAAATTAAGCGGCGTTCAAATAAAACGGGGCTTAATCCCGCACGAGGCGACGCAGAAGTGGAATTTACATTTCAATGTCGAACGCATCCTACCTGGCGCGGGGTCCGGAATGTTCTCAAAGGGTCGGCAATAAAGAAGATTAAAACTATAGAGGGCGCGCATTAGCCCCGCACCCGCCTCTGGATTCGGAGCCGCCGTATATCAAGTACAATCGCCCTCCCCAGCGGACGCTTCCGCGCCACACATGACCTGAAAGTTCAGCACTTCATTACGCAGCTATCGGTAACCCAATTGCGCCCCCGCCAAAGTGAAGCTCGTAATTTTTGCCGGCGACGCGGCGTTTTTAATGTGCGGCCACGCAATTGGCGAGCGCCATAAGAGATCGTTTATTGGTGTTATTGATTTTCTGTTTTTGATTAAACTGAGTTCAATAGATAACTTTGGTAGCTGCAATGACTGTTGGAAGGTAACATTTAAAATACATCAATTTATGATATACATGTCAGCTTGTAAATGTATACCATTAGTTTTCGAATTAAAAATAAACCCCGTCGGCCACTAAAAGATAATGACGAGTAGTTGGCAAATCGCCAGTATCGTGGCGAGCATGTGGCCAACCTTTTAAAATCCCATTGTGCATTCAAATCTAGAAAATGGGTGGACCTTTGATTGCGATGCGCCGAAAGCTTGCTTTTGTGCACGGCCAAGTTTGCGTTCCGTATGTGCCCTAATGCCTTAGCGTAGAGTCAAAAATCGCGTGAAAGCCGAGACGTGGCGTGTTGCACTAAACCCCTTCTGTAATAAAGAGGATGAAAGGTTTTGTACGATTGTTTCTTTTTTACGCCGGATGCCTCGAACACGTTTGATATGATAATTCCTTTAATAGGATGAGAGCATCACAAGTGTGCGGCCGTGGGCGCGCATTTAGACACGGAATACTTTATGCCGCCCGGTCGAAAACTCTTACCCAGTTAGGGCGTCCGTCTGGCTACAAACGTAGCTTAAAACGGCGCCTGTTAAATACATCAAAGAGACAGCATTCGCCTCTATAGCCCGCGTCGTCACAACGTTAGTGTAACTTCGATCCCTACAAATGCTGCAATAATTTTACAAATCGTAACAGTCTTTGATGTTTGAAAGAATTAATTAGAAATGAATTAGAAACCCTTTCCTTTCAAGTAATTGCTTGTTCGGTAGTGTGTAAAATTGCTTACGTACTAATTTGTAAGAACTGTAATAATTTTCAACGTAGTCAAAGCACCGAATCCTACTTGATATTGAGATACGCCATCTGGAATGGAGCAAGGAAACTTTGAGGACAAAATAGCCTGCGGTAATTAGTGTTAAGGATTATGATGATTTAATTTTATTTAAGCAGTGGATTAATAATTTCTGATGGCTTTTACAGCTTTGCTTCAATAAGAGCTTTACTATGTTTGCTTCTACCGCTTTGTCTTATCTACTACTACTATACATAAGGCAAAGCTGTAGTAATGGTTATTAGTATAACCAATAAATAAATAGTTTCAGTCAATAGAAATAACTTGGCAGTATATAGAGCAACAGATTTTATCGTTCTAATAATGAAGACGAGTTGTCACGTCATAACTATATTTCATTTAATTACCTTTGAGACGATTCAATTACATATAAAATGCTCACTAATGAGATAGTTCAAATATGTTTTTTTAATATTACAATTCAATCAGTCATTAATTTATTTAGGTAATACAGTCCCGTAAAAGTAATAGCAACTTTTTTGAAATATTTTTTTTCTTTAAGTTTACATCGACATTTTAATTTACAAATTCACTGACAAAAGAAACGACGAATACACGAAATACTTCTTAAAGAAAATCCTATATAACTGTGGAATCATCCTGATTATTAACTCTGCCTAGCCGTTTATAAGCTTAGCGATCGCTACTTAATTTAACAAACCAAATAAACAATAGGAGAGGGCAATAAAACGTAATACCTCATAAAAATTCGAGTCGTGCGTTCTCTACAAATAAAAAGTCGAGAGCGAGAGAAAAATAAATAAATAAGAAAAAAAAAACAACCGTCGGAACTCATTGGCGAAATTAGGAGGCTACCCTTGAAAAATAAACAGAACAGCGCTAGAGAGGAACACGGCGGGGGGAGGGCGTTTTAATTGTAAATTGAATTAAATTCGACCGGAATCAACTTTTGTTGGCACAATTTAGGCGGTCGCTAATGACGGAAACCCGGGGTGGGGAGCCCTCAAAAGTCAGACAGGTTTTTGATTAACCGTCGCGGGGCGGGAAAAAACCATCGTAATTAATGGAGGTGTGTTGGGCGGATGGCGTATGTGTGTGTTTGTTTTTTCGACCGTTTTCGCTGAAATGGTATGACTCGGATCTTTGCGGGCGTCGGGATTTGATTAAGACGTCAACTTAGAATAATGAGCTTAGCGGAATAGGATCTAGGTCAGGCGGCGCGCATTCAAATGAGCCCGCGTACGTACAGCCAGAATGTTAATATTTCGCTGTTTTAATTGAAGAGAAACATTTCAAACACACCCAAGATATGTTTTATGTGAGAAAGTGGCGAACTAGCTGGTGGCTCACCTGATGTTATAGTGATAACCGCCGCCCATGTACATTTGCGACACCCGGAGGTTTGCAGATGCGTCGCCACCTTTTAATAAAGTGGGCCCCGGCTACCTCACTCACCAGACGAAACAGAAGTGTACCATTTCTACTTCACGAATGTTTTCTGCGGTACTGCTCATTCGTGCAACAGCGAACACTGTTGCGTCGCTCTACAACTGTCAAATACACTATCTCTTATCCTTTAAACGTGCAATTTTTGTGTATATATATATATATATATATATAATCGGAATCTCGGAAACGGCTCCAGCGATTTTCATGAAATTTAGTATGTGCGTAGATTCGGGGGCGAAAAATCGATCTAGTTAGGTTTCATTTTTAGAAAATGTTCTCGGAATGAAAAATTTCGTTCGAATATGACGGTAAATTTCGCCCCAAAAAAAAATGTTATGTTATGTTTTTACTTGAATAGTATATTTTAGTTGTATTTAAGTCTGAAGTAATTATTAAATAAGCAGTTACAATTACTCGATAGAGGAACCGACAAAAAGTCTATTGTTGTGTTCAACATATATGTTCAATTATATGTACGATTAACTCCAGAAAAGGACATGAGATAAGGATAATTATTACATTACATATTTAAATGTATGCTACCAAAAATCGAAACCGATTAGACATTGGAAACCCTAACTTCAGCCGCTTATCTTTCGAATTATCATCTCATAGCGCCCCCGGTGCTCTAAAATACCTGAGACTAACGAATTTTCTCGATTCGGTCACGCCACATTGGCTCCCGGCTACGCAGTCTCCGAGAAACCCGACGGAATCTTACCGAGCAAATAATTAAAGATCCCGCTCGAAAAGAAATCCCAATCAAGCGCCAACGATCCGATATCGAGTGATAGCACCCTGAAGACGCGACGTTAAAACGTACTCGTCTTATCGTTCGTAATGCATACAGCAAGGAAGTCTAGTTATCTCGCGTCCAATTGCAACGTGTTTTCAAGGAAAGCGGTGCTTGGGTTTTGCTCGACGGGTGTTCACTAATCGCTATTGTGTCACAACTCACTCTTAAGTGGGAAAATCGTGTATATCCTTTAAAATAACTTACTACGTGTCTTAAAAGACGACTGTGAGTATGCTTTTGATTAGCGAATTCGCCATCACTTCCCAACAAGACGGATAGTAAAGCAAAAACATTTACGTATAGCTAAACGGAGTGACAACCTGTGGAAAGATGCTGGAAGTCGATGGATGCTGGTCGCTCAGGATCGTGCTTCGTGGCAGTTTGTGGGGGAGGCTTATGTTCAGCGGTGGACTAACAGTCATGTAGAGTAGAGGAGAATGTTTTAGTGGCAACAAGCCTAAGTAAAATCTTTCGTTCTATGGGTATCTATGAGTGAAGTCCACATTTCCCTTACAGTTGACGAAAACACTACATCCTTCGATCAAACGGGTACATAATGACGCTTTCCGTCTGGACACAAACTAAACTGCACCGTATCTCGAGTACCTCACATCGTTATCGAAAAAAGTTAGCTGTGAAACGCCAAATCGCTTCATGCCGATCAGTAAGTACAACACTAGCATAAGTACAGTTCATAGTAAACGATCCACGGCGTCTTAATGAGTGCCCCAGAACATTCTGGATATCAGCGCACCTTTAGAATCGCCGGGCTTGCTAATGAAATTTTTGGATTACGACCCGCCGCGCCGCGTCCCTGTCGCACTCGCGCGGTTCCGCATAAGCCTGTCCCGCTCGCGTGCAGAGGTGCAGTTTTATGCGAAATTTATTCATAACGCTGTAATTTGCCCGCGGCAGGGGAGCCCGTAATGGAGATGGGTGGATGATATTTCCGCGTATTGCTATCGCCCAGTTCAGCTCCATGCTGCTATTGCTGAGTTACAGTTCGCTTAAACGTCGGTGGAGTTTTAATTCCAGATGCTCGGGTGATCTAACTGATGCCGTAAAGAGATGACCGATATATCTGTATTACAGTAACACAAGACCTACTATAACAGAGATCCTATTCTCCTATTCAAATCTGGAAACAGATGACACCTCACTCACGGTTGCAAAGCGCCTGCAACTCCTCAAGTGTTGTAGATGTCGATGGGTGCCATCAAATGGCACAATGGCACCTTCTATGTGCACTATTCATCATTTATCTCTTCACATCATTAGATCTTCATACAAGAATTGACAGAGACATGTATGTAAAAGTTAACACTTTGCAATATTCGACTTATGACCCGGACACTTGATTAGTTTCAACTTTATTTTTTTTTAAAACATTGCCCTTACTTTAGGATAATATTGTCCTATGTTGTAGGGACGTTTGACAAACATAAATTTCACGCGGACAAACACCCAGATGCGAAACAACTCTCTGTGGGTCACACAAATAGTTGTCCCGTGTGGGAATCGAACCCCCGACCCCCGACGCCGAAGCCAATACCTTGGCAAATGCACCACGGAATCATCTCGCTTCAACTACAAAGCGCTAAACAATCTCTCCGTTCTGAAAACGTTCACTAACGCGTCTATCAAGTCTACGGTACAAAACATTCTAACAGTGTAAACGTGCGATACAACTTGTATTACGTACGTGTATTGTACCAAAGCACTTTCGAATCTCCTCAACAGTCGAGTCTGAGGCGTCTTTCGACAAAACGCTCCCCGTCGTTTAAGATACCGACCATTATATTATCACGCTGCGGTGGGCTTCCAAAGCGCGAACACTTTTGAAAATTATCCGCGGAAGCAAGCGACGACCAGGAACCTTTCGCGGGCAGCCGTCTATGAATGTATAATGATCGTCACACTTTGTGACTGAATCCGCAGCGCAGGCTTTTGTCCCATTATGTTCGTCCCATGCGGAGGTTTTCCAGCTTATGTATGTATATTTATTTGTATATACACCCATTCGCAGCCATCGAAGAAAGTGTTTACATTTTTTGTTTAGTTAACAGCCACATCAGTCAGAGATGACTTTTTTTTTTAATATGAAAAGTTGCCAAGCGAGCAGGCGATTCACCTGATGTTAAGTGAATACCGCCGCCCATGGACTACACCCGAGAGTTTGTAGATGCGTTGACAACCTTTTAGGAAATTGGGCTCCGGCGAACTCACACCGGACGAAACGCGAAAGTATTATACTTCACTTGACGCCGGTCTTCTGTGAGGCCGTGGTACTTACCCGGACGAGCCTGCCCATTCGTGCAACAGCCGAGGCTGCTGCGTGGCCCTACCACCGTTAAAATGTCAATCAAATGATCGTGTCAATCACCGACTGATGTGGCTTGATGCTAACTATAAATAACATTACTTTTTTAGCCGCATTTGACCTAACAAAGACAATGAATAAAATCTATTTAAAAAAAAACATTAACCATACGATGTAGGTACACAATTGTTTTTATTGTATTATATGTGAAGTAATTTAACAGCCTCTACACATCCCACTGCTGGGCACGCGGCCCCACAGCGAATTGGCGGACTCCACATATCTTTGAAATATTTTTTTTATAATTTCGAAAATATGTATGTCATAAGTCAGCACTTAAAATTAACAATTTCACTGGTGCCATCACTAGGGATGGAACTCGTGTTGCCCGAGTTTATTAAAATAAAGGCGAGCGCCTGGACACTGAGCTATCACAATTTACATGTATCTTCATATAAAAATGAAGACAGTCACACAAGTTCTAAGAACATTTTGAAATTTTAGAATCCGGAAATTATTCCAAGAAGTTTATATAACCAAAAAGCCTTCGTTGGTTAGGCAATATTCTACATATAAAAACGAACCGCGACATGAAATATGAAAATCTTATCGAAAAACTTACACGTCGGGTGTTTAAAGGCGGCATCGGCTTTGACTACGAAATGTCCACTCCATATTATCTATGACTAGTTATATGACCGTACAATATTATGGGGTGGTCCGCACCTATGTAAATCTGGCGATATTTTTTTTGATGACAAGCAACACTTTAATGGCTTCATTTCCTCAATAAATTTTCCAGTGGACGTAATTATAACAGCACGGGCTGCCGTGATCGAGTGTGATAACGCGCGAATATGAACCCTGAACGCTCAACATGTGACCTTAAGTCCTGGGCCGTGTTACGAAAATCACCGGCCTCCGTGAATTTCGTTTACCTTTAGACAAACGGAACGTGATCGATTAATGTTTTTTAGGTTTTATTATGACTAATTAAATTGAAATTGCGTTTTTATAATTTGATTTTTTATAGTAAAGACGCTTGAGTTTTCATTGTTTCATTCCAAGTGTTAACGTTATTGTTAGTTCGAGTTTTTATGTATTATTAATTGAAACATTTGAACTGTGATAACTCAGTGTCCGGGCGCTCGTCTTTAATTCAATATACTCGAGCAACCTGAGTTCGATCCCCGGTGCCGACACCAATGAAATTGTTAATTTTAAGTGCTACCTTATCGAGTGCTCAGTGGCGAAGAGAAAAATCGTGAGGAAACATAGGTACATATTTTCGAAATGATAACAGCGTGGTGGACAATGCCCTGATTTTACAACAAAAAAAAATTTTAACTAATTCAAACATGTTTCGATCGATCTTTGACTCAATAGCACATTTCGTATACTTTTTACTTTTTTGTGAAAAACTGTACGCGAAAAAGTACATGAGTACACCTAATTAAAGATGTAACTTTGCTACTGTAAATATTTGGTAGAGATATTGTAATGCTTTATATTCTGAGAAGGGCCATTACGAATCATCGCAAACGAACCTCATTAATTAGGAAACTTTTAACGATTTCGCCTTAACGCCCGATTAAATGGCCTAAATTATCAGATAGGTCTCATTTAAATTCGTCCCAGGTGTCACGGGCGAGTGTCCTCGACACTCCTCGACTCTCCCTAAGGTCGATGCGGAGATTTCTTCGAGTGTTTAGCGCAAATTGGCTCGCTCGAAACGAAACGTATAAAATGAGTGCAAATTAAGAGATCAAAGTTTAAACTTACTCCAGTTTCGTGGCATTAGCAAGGCTGAATAAATTACGTTTTACTAAATTTGAATTCGTTAGAAAGACTTTTTTGGTTAAATTCAATGTATTCTTGTGATTCACTTTTTTAGTGTAGTTCTCTTTAAATCCCGACCCTTGACGACTCTTTGATATTACCTTCAAGATATTTCGTAACTGTGTGAAATGTTAATTCGCCCATTTGTACATCGCAGCCGATCTTTTGCCTGTAATCGTGGTCATTTGTGATCATTTTTAGGGTTCTGTACTCAAAGAGTAAAACGGGACCCTATTACTAAGACTCCTCTGTCAGGCTGTCCGTCTGTTACCAGCCTGTATCTCATGAATCGTGATAGTTAGACAGTTGAAATTTTCACAGATGATTGTATTTCTATTGCCGCTATAACAACAAATACTAAGAAAGATGGCAAGCGCGCTGGCGATTCAACTGTTGTTGAGTGCTGACCGCCGCCCATGGACATTTGCAACACCCATAGGGTTGCAGTTCCGGTGCCACCTTTTAATAAAGAGGGGCCCGGTTACCTCGCTCATCAGATGAAACGCAGATGAACAACACTTTCGCCGGTATTCTATGAGGTCGCGGTACTACCCCGGACGGACCTGCCCATTCGTGCAACATCGGACACTTGCGCAGCCCTACCGCAGTGGGAGAAACATTACTTTCATTCGCATCCCAATCGAACGTACGTTTTATTTCGCAGATGTAATTGTTAACGAGGATAGACCGCCGCGTATCCGCGCCTATAACCCGCTTAATCCGCGGACGCCTCGGGCGCGGCACGTGTTCCTCAGAATCGGGTGCGGTGCGTGTGTTAGCGATGTCAAATAATTTTTCGCATTTACGCGATCACACACACGGGCTGAGCCTGTCCCGTGACCGTGAACGGGTGAAACTGGTTCGAAACGACGGGAAATAAAACTAAAAAATAACGCGATAAATCCGTAAACATATTTTGTATTCAGTAGCGATATTAAAGCAACGGATATCAAAAAATACTTAATACAAAAGATTCTTAATGTCCAGTTCATGGATGTAATTACAAATAATTTGGTTGATTGATACAATATAATAGTATAAATGTATTTTAATTAATCAAAGTAGAAGCTGCTTTTGAGATTTCTTAAAAATATATTTATCGACCTTGTGGCAGTTAGATCTTTAGTATGAATTTTCTAACCATATCTTAAGATTCAGTACGGTGATAAGTTATACATAACTTCCTATAAGTTTAATTTTATTTGTGTAAAATGTATGCACTTTGTTTACAAGTTACGTATATCGTTCCAAATTACTTAGCTCTTTAGCGTCATTATCAGGTCGTAAATACCGTGACTTTGTTCATGGTAAAGGTGATAAACCGCTTCGCCTATCCGCCCGCTAAAAGTCGCGCCCCACAGCAGGCGAGCCGGCCACGTACCGGCGATGTATTCGACGCGCGTGGCGCTCTAACAAGCTGCAATTCCATTACAAAATTAACAGACGCCTTCTAGATGCCTCGCACGATGTTTCATATTTTCGTGTCGGACTCTAGTTTTGTACGATACTTTTCTGTTATTTTTTTTAATATCATCCGTAAGATAGTACTGACAGGACGCGATAATCAGTTTGCACTGCGTTGAAAATCGTTTTACATAAATAGAACGCTCGGAGTCAAGTACTTAAACAGAATATTCATAATTAATCCATACACAACCTTAATAAAACATGTTATGGACACATTTACTATACTATTCTCGAACGTAAAGCATCCAATTTACGTTTCAACCTTTTTTCTTCGAAGCCACGTAAGAACTGAATACCGTAACAGTCTCAACTGAAATATTGCATACATACATTATTTGATCATTCCAAATCAACATTTTATCGTGTAAAGTAACAATCTATAAATGTCCCACTGCTGGGCAAAGGCCTCCTCTGTACAGAGGGTATCAGAGCATGGTCCACGCGGTCCCACTGCGGATTGGCGGACTTCAAATATCTTCGAAATATTTTTTTTGTTATTATTTCGAAAACATGCTCACGATTCTTCCTCACGATGTTTTCCTTCACCGCTAAGCACGTGATAACTCAACCCTTAAAATTAACAATCTCATTGGTACCGCCATCGAGGATTGAACTCGGCTTGCTCGAGTATACGGAATTAAAAGGGAGCGGATAATGAGCTATCGTGGCCTATATTATCGGGTATTCAAGTCGAATTGCATACGACACGACCGCTCGTATCACTCACATTAACTTCAACCCTTAAAGGAGATGGCGCCCGCGTAAATTCCGATTGACTCCACCCCCGCCCCTGCGTAAGTGTTTTCTTTGTGGATTGCCAACAGTCAACGGGAACCCTTTAACGTGTTTATCCTTTTTAGGCGAACCACCCCTCATAGGGTACTTCGCCTTTGTAGTTTGAGGAACTTTTTTTTTGCTTTCATTGTACCGCATATAATCAACACCGCAATGTTTTATGTCTCCAACTAGCTGACACTAAAACCAGCTGATATTTATACTAATATGTTATATGTAGTGTGATATTCTTATAAATATTAATGACTACACCGCTTCTAAGGCAAGAAACACACATCACTGAACGTGTGCTCTTAAAAATCTTTGTAACTTTTTTTTTATGGGAAAAGTTGTCAAGCCAGCAGGAGGTTCACCTGATGTTAAGTGAATACCGCCGCCCATGGACATCTGCTACACCTGTTGCAAAATTGGACTCCGGCTACCTCACTCACCAGACGAAACGCGAAATTATTATACTTCCACTTTACGCCGGTCTTCTGTGAGGTCGTGGTACTTACCCGGACGAGCCTGCCCATTCGTGCAACAGCCGAGGCTGCTGCGTAGCCCTACCACCGTTATTATTACTTACTAACTTCTATACTTGACATTAAATGAAGATATATTTTTAGATATTTTATAATTATTTAGATGACCTCCAAGTGTCTAAGAAATAAAAACTTAGAAGAGTTAATTGAAGTCTGTTCAGTAATATGTGAAGCGCGCACAATGGCACCTCTATCGTTTTGTTCTACGAATGTTTGTCACGAATCTATCGTAAGCGCCACCGTGTGTTCTGATCTCATTAATGTGCTACTATTAAAAAATTCATTCTTAAATTGCTTTTAAAACGTTATTAGATACAAAATAGGACAAATATAATTATTACTGTCGCTTAGTTGTGGCATTTGCAAAGCTCACATTTGCCCGCCCGTAGAGTCTAGTAAGAAATAATGCTATCGTAAATTTCATGGACATATTATCGAACGAAGCTTTCGCCGTTTTTAATGCAATTGTTGTATACGCTACCTCCGTAAATAACTCCGCGTAAAAAGTTTTCTGAAAATATTTCACCGCGAACGACTTAATTTTGTTTGGTAGCTACATTAAATTGCTTACGGGTAAAATAAAATGTTGGGACGTGTAATTTCCTTTAAATAAAAAAAGGATTTATAACTCAATACTTTTATGAATCTGTCTGGAGTTCAAACTGCATACTTTTTTACTGTGGTAGGGCGACGCAACAGCCTTCAAGTACCACGAACTCACAGATAACTGGCGTGAAGTTGTAGTGTTCACTTCTGCGCTTCGTCTGGTGAGTGAGGTAGCCGGGGCTCACTTAATTATAAAGCGGCAAGGCATCTGCAACCCTACGAATGCTGCAAATGTCCGTGGGCGGCGGTTATCCTACCTTCTCGCCAAAAAATACAAATGTATCATAATTGCGTTTCACCAGCTATTTTAATAAAGCTATACAACATTAGGAGAGTAAATAATATTCCAGAGAGGGCATAAATTAGACAACATTAATGGGACTTTTATTGCTAATTGATGCACCCCTTTACATTTTAATTACCATTATCAATCGCGAAACACCCATTACACCTCCTTTATATAATACAACAGCATCTGCCGTTATCCGGTAACACTAATTGAAAACGTCAAACATCCATCCGATGATTGCGTCATATTTTAAGGATCGCGCACACTGGGACCCGTTACAAAACGATCCGTCGAATTCGCGCGAAGAATTTCACAATTAACGAAATTAAAGGCCGCGGACGCGCGCGTGGCCCCCGCTTCGCGGTTTTTTTTTATTAATGAATTTTTAATAAATTAATTTATTGCTTGATTAAAACTCAATTAGTAGTCATTGGACGCCGAATTAATTTGCATTCGTTAAGCGGCCGAATTACGGTCGTGCAACATTTTGAAGCGGCGGCAACTGAAAGCCTACACGTCTACTTTAAATACATTTAAAATACATTTTAATCTCCAACCACATGTGTGTTCATCATAAATTTTTAACGCTTGCAAGCATATTTAAAAATTTATGATTGTAGAGATGTATAGAGTGCATAGAGATTTCTAAAGGTATTTTCGTCATAGACCTCTTATTGAACATCACTACATAGTATGAAACAAAGTCGTCCTGCTGTCTGTCTGTCCATATATGTGCATACATCTTTAAAGCTACGCAACGGATCTTGATGCGGTTTTTTTACTAGATAGAGTGATTCAAGAGAAAGGTTTACAAGTATAATACATTGCACCCGTGCGAAGCCGGATCGGGTCGCCAGTGATATATCACTAGCGACCCGCAAAATATATATATTATATCATGTAATGAACAGCATTGTATCATAGCAGCCACAAATGCTTACAAACCAGACCCACCACTATTGTATGTTTCTAATTGTGTCCTTTGGCTTCTCCCAAAGTATTTACATAATGTTTGGTTTCTCACGTCGATTTAAAAAAAATCCCAAAAGAACATTGCATAAAAAAATTTTAAAAATTTAAATAAAACAAAGTGGCGATCCATCGGAACTATACTTACGGAATAATGTAACAAAAAGTTTTTATTATAAATTATTTGGAATACTAAAACATCGACCTAAAAAAAGTAATTATTTTAAACAATCCATTTTCAATTGTTGTTAGGATTTTTATAAGATTCCACAGTGTTTTCATGCATATATCTATGTAGAATTAACTAACACCTCTTACACTATATTCATATATTACCCTTTTTTTTGGTATCGGGGGAAAAATCTTCATAAGATATCCTGTCATTCTATGACACGGTTATGTGAGGTTCTTACCCACTAAAACCCCCTCGGTGGCCACCTCGAGGGACTCCGGGATCTCCTACGGAACACACCGGTGTCCCTCGGCACGCCGCGGAGAAGCATAAACCTTCCCGATTCCCTCACCATCTTGCAGCAGCTCGAGGCCACTTCGTGTTGCTGCCAATCCATGTCCCCTTTTAGTCGCCTTTTACGACAGGCAGGAGATACCTTAGTCCTATTCTAGAGCCCGGGACTATAGGTCTGTCATATATTACCCTATCCAATTAATGTGATAATACGAAGATGAAATTTTACAACTCATTCAATAGAGACATGCATACATAACTTGTTTGCGCTGAAACCTTTCACCAAAAACAAATATATAATAATTATAAATTACGGCGATTCAATTTGTTTTCAATAACCTTATCGCGCATCACGATCCTTGCGATCTTTTGCCTTTTCAAAACTGCTACACACTTAGTACTAGTTCCGTTCGAAATGTCGATAACTTCCCACTCAACACTCGAAATGCGGGACGAAATGAAATTACCATACGTCGACTGATCGAACGTAAACAGAGCAGTGTACGTTGCGCCTTAAAAAAACATCGGGAGCTCGGCCTTAAAAGGCGTTCGCCGGCACCTTAAACGCCTTCGAAAAACAAGCTGCAAGCGGCCCTCGAAACAAGCTCGAACAGGGCAAATGTTTGCGCTCGCACACGCGATATCGGCCCATCGGGTGTGAATTTGCATACTCGACGCTTAAGCCGCGATGGCGTAGTGGATGCGACCAGGAGTTTCGACCCGTTGTCGCAGGATCGAAGCACACTGGCGTGCCAACCGCGAGCACGTGAAAAATAAAAAAAAATATGTTACATTATGTGTAATGTCAAATTGTAAAAAACAGTTTCAAAACAGACTTTTGCAACAGGTCGCTGTTAAATATATTTTTTTTTTTATTTTCTCTTGCCATGAGATAACTGTGCCGTGTCGTAAGGCTTCACAAAACAAATAATCAATTCCATAACGAGTAAAGTAAACAAGTAACGTAACATCCATGTCAATAAATGTCCCACTTCTGGGCAAAAGCCTCATCTGTATAGAGGGTATTGGCTACACGACCCCACTGGTAATTGGCAGACCTCACGTATCTTTAAAATTTAAGTTTTCTTTTAATGTTTATTTTTTTTAGTTTTTTTTTTTATTGTTATTATTACTAGACATGTATATATATGCAGGCTTCCTCAAATTGTTTTACCTTCACTGCTGAGCACGTGATAAGTCGGTACAAAAAATTGTAATTATAACGAGATGGCAAGTTGTAATTTTAACCAAAAAATCCGTCAAATAGTTTTGAGGAACTATAATGTAGCTGTAAATTGGTATTAGAAGTTTGAATAAATTACAAGAATTCATTAAATTCAGAACAATTCATATACGCACTTGTAATTTTATATTTTGCCATGCCTGTAACGTTATTAACAAGTTTCCAGAATTCTTCATTTTTTATTAATCAAGTTATTGAATTTCAAGATGCAAAATCTAATAATAAGCCTTTTAACTAATTTTTCTTTTTATTGCTTTCAGGTAAATCTTCATCCAAGTTTTCAAGGTGCATGAAAGGTCCTTCTTTCAAAGGTACAGAGGTTGTGTTAACTTAATCCTTATTTCTTCATTTAAGTAATTGAAATTGCATAGATTTCTAGTAAGAACTCAATCCTTTTAAATAAATACAAATATGCAAATGACACACAACAATATTAAACAAATGTAAAGAAAGTATTTTCAACCAGTGAACTAGTTTAAAATCTACTTAATCATCAGTTTCAGTAAAATTACCTTACGTTTAAAAAGTTTACCTAACGCCAAGGTGTAAGCAGTTTCCTAAATACTCCCTTGGAATTTGAAATTATGCTCACGATTTGAATAAGTTAGCGTGAAAATACATTAAAAATTGGTAGTAGCCTGCTGTATTTCACTTTATGTGAATTTACAGAACTCATTAACGAGTTATCCCTTAACCAATACCCTAATCGCATAGTACATTCTTAATCTATTTTCATCCTAAATGTTTTTAATACCGTGGTAACCATACCAAACCGTACGTACCATTTGAAATCTTATATAATTTTCACTAACGAACGTGAAATATTAAAAATTGCGTGTTCGATTTCATTTTTGTTAATCTACATGTGATACAGAAAAAAACTTTACATTTATATACCTATAGACTAAATAGAGTTAGCGAACGTAATCTCGCCACATGAACGTACGAAATATAATTCTTGCACGGGCGTGACATGCGAAATAATTTTGGGCGATATTTACCGGGGTCGTACCTCGGACCCGAACAAGCCTCTAATGGAACAGGCCGAGGTCTGGGTTCAAATTAATAACTTTAAACTAAAATGCCTGAGGTTGTTGGGATCGTTGGCTTTTATATGTAATATATAAGCTCCGTTCCTCCTTTAAAACATTCATTATTATTAAGTTACATAATCAATTGTTTCTCATATTATTTGAGTATTATAAAAACGCAGTGTAGGACTAGTCACGACCCCACTAGATGGAGTGACGACCTGTGCAAATGTGCGGGAAGTCGATGGATGCAGGTGGCTCAGGATCGTACTTCATGGCAGTCTATGGGGGAGGCCTATGTTCAGCAGTGGACTCAAACAGGCTGAAATGATAATGATGATGATTAAAACTCAACCATTACGTACATAAAACTTTACACACGCTTGACTTGGGGTACTCCCCATCTTACTAGCTGGTGAATGCGTGACGAGAGCGTTACGAAAAGTGTGACGTTGCACGAACGGCGATGTGAATATTTCGTAATTTCATTTTGTTCTTGAAAAGAATTACAAATGAATATTTTGTTCAATACATTTAATGTTCTACGTTTAAAGTGATTAAAACTGTAAATTCATACAGATTATAATAGATGGAGCAAAAGCAGTTTCACTTCAGTCGTGTGCTCTAAAAGCACACTCGTTATACATCAATGCTGCAAATGAGAATCAAACTCTTGTCTAGTCAGATATCTCCGCTCTAAGATTCAAACAATCGGAAGTTGTGCTCGGCGCGGTGTTTCGCAAATCGCCGAAATTTCGACGCTTAATTAATCCAAACAAAGACGATCCCCGTCATATTTACGACGGGGCTGCAGGCAGCCGAAGTTCCGGAGCTAATGCCTCGCTGACGGTCCAATTTTGTCACGGAGAATTCGCCGAGTGCGCCGATAGAGGGGACTTAGCCCCGCCGGGAGGTAATGCCCCAAGTTTTCAACTCAATCAGTGCTCTGATATTTATTATACAAAACGTTGGTTATTTTCACAAAACGCTTCTTATCCAGATCCATTAGGGGAGCGTGACGTGAAGGGCATAAGGTATTCATGATTTGAATTGAATGGTACAGGCGGATACTTCTTGGTAATTAGACCTTCTTTTTTTTTTAAAGTGAGAAAGCGGCAAACGAGCTGGCGGTTCACCTGATGTTAAGTGATAACCTCCGCTCATGGACATTTGCATCACCCTTAGGGTTGCAGATGCGTTGCCAGCATATAATAAAGTGGGCCCCGGCTACCTCACTCGCCAGACGAAACGCAGAAGTATGACACTTCCACATCACGCTGGTCTTCTGTGAGGTTGTGGTACTTCTTACTTGCTTTGTGTCAATCTTACTTTAATATATATTCGTGTGTATCATAGTACACTAGTCTATAAAGGTTTTAACGTAGGTAGTATAAGCAAGCTCGCTAGCTGTAAGCGGTTTGTTCAAATGATATGATTATCATTCAGAGGAACAATTTATATGATGGATGTTTTATACATTGTTATGATGGAAATGATACGATTCTGAATAGATATTTTTCGATTCGCTTCAAATGGATCCCCGATAAGTTCGAATGTCCGTTGGCGAAGTAATCTGAGAACAAGATTGGGACGTATGTGCGTTATTAACGTGAGAAGTAGACATTGTACAGTCGTAAATCTTGAGTACGTCGTTAGTAAATAACGGCATATGCAAGTCCCATTGTTGGATAAAAGGCCTCAGTACTATACTATATGGTGGGTACCAAGCATAGTCCCCCCTCTACGCATTGCGATTGCAACTGCGGATTGACCGTCTTCATTTTTTAAATGTTTTTTTTATTTTGTTATTATTTAACAAAAGTATTTTCCTCGCGATGCTTTTTTCTTCACCGCCGAGCACGTGGTAATTCAGCACTTGAAACTGGCAATTTCGTTGGTGCTAGCGGGATTTGAACTCTAGTGGCTCGGGTTGAATTAACTCAAGCGCCTGGGATCACGGCTAAATCCGCTATTAAGTTAAAGTTTTATTATTTGCATTTCAAGATGCAAGCATGAACAGCTAATATATAAATTGTATAGCTAACAACCGCCTGTTAAACTGTTAATAATACTGTTTTACGCTAAATTTAGGTAAACACTAACGAAAGCAAATTCATGAACTCGTCCCCACACCGACCGCGTTCTTACCTAACGGTTTATTAACGGGCCCCGTATTAATCCGCCTATTAAAACTTTGCCTATGCAAAAACGTTTCCCGAGCAACTTGTTGGGGGTTTCGGTGCGGATACGAGTCTTCACAATTCGGTCGGTTAGCCCTCATTTAATATAAACGAAAGCGTTTTTAAAGTATAAATGATTTTGGTGTGTGTGATTTTATTCAGTCGATGGATACTTATTATGTACTTTTATTGGGTTACAATTTTTCTTTGTTAGTTAATTTTTTCATATTTGTTAACGATTTTCATATCCGGATTCAATAAAGAAAACGAATCGTAATAAAAGATACTATTACATTTCTATACATTTAATAACCTAATGATTATATATTTTGACTATACTTAATAACTAACTGTACTTCATTCATGTTGCAATCAAAGCCATGTCACATATACATACCTAAAAGAAACTTACAAAGAGAACACAAAACGATTTCCCTCAACTGTTCCGATAAGCAAAACCGAACGTGAATTGTTAATGCGCCAATTTAAACATGCGAAACTGGTAAGACGCGTTTAAAGCGAATTGAAAATTGCAGAGAGAAACACACGAACTCCCGAATCTTTCACACCCCCACTGAAAGCGGGCGTTACATGAAAGGCGATGTCGACATTTTTCAGCGCCTTGCAAACTCCGTACCGGCGTTCATTTGCTAAAACGTCCCTTACAGGAGGCCTATTGCAGATCCAAAGGGCTACAGACACGACGAGCCTAAAAATGGAACTGAAACGCTTTTAATTAGGGACCTCTAATTACGGACTCTGTGAGTTTCAAATTCGTAGACAATGCGTGGAATTTCTGCCAATGCTCATGCATAATGTGAAACCTGTATTTTTAGTTTTATCTAATAATATACAGCCTTTACTATCAGAAAATGTAACTTCTAAATTAAAGTATGTTTATAGATTTATTGCGTTTATTTTTCTTTTCGTTGTTTCGAGCCCTTTTTAGCGTTCATAGTCACGGGACAGTGTGTTTATAGTTTCATTTAGTTATGGGTAATCGCGTAAATACAAGATATTATTAAGTTTACTTCTAGTTAAAGTATTGCTTCTCGTGACCATACTGTGGAAATATTGGGAATTTTCTTAATTTGCTCTTTGGCTTTAATATGTCTCTTAATGTTTTAAAATGAAAACAGTATTGTATTGCATTAGAGGATAGTATTTTTTTAGAAATATTATATATATGTATGAAGTATTTTTAAAGTTTTTTTTTTATTACGTAATAGTGAAAATGAAAATATTGTGGAAACAAATGTCTAAAAATGCTTGTAATAACATATGCCGTAGCATCAATTCTGGCTCACTGAACAAAAGACAACGCTCACTCTATTCATTTCCAACTCTACGTTGTCGAAGTGATGAATGCGCCGAGTTAGTCCGTGTCAAGGCGCGGGCCACAAAAACGTAGCGAGCGTCGTAGCACGGCGGAAATGGCGTAGTGGGCTTCCCCCCCTCCACAGATTGGCAGTTGGCACGTCGAAATCGCACGTCGTGCGTCACACGCACACGCTGTAGCGATACTTGCGTAGCGCTTCGTACACGTTAGCGCATTCATTTCCCCATAATAAAAGCCCCGTGGGTACACTGATACCCTTGGCGCGTCGTAAAACGGAATGCGCGCAGAGCTCGCAATACCGGCCGCTACTGCTACAGCTAAATGAGTACTATTATAGTCAAAGGCAGAATGTTTGTTCCATTGAGTTTGTTTCGTACTTTAAATTTTAATCCGTCAGCAAGAATTTCGGTTAAAAACGTAAAACCTTCTCTTTTAAGCATCGCTATCTACCGCGTGATAGTTTCAGCTTGTATTAAACACACAAAACCGTAAAAGATTAAAAATAAGTTTGTATAATTGCATCTGGTGAGTGAGGTAGCTGGTACCCAATTTTCAAAAGATTGTCAACGCATCAACCCTCGGGTGTAGCAGATGTCCATGGGCGGCGGTATTCACTTACCATTGGGTGAACTGTCTGCTCGTTTGGCAACATTTCGCATAAAAAAAAATAACAAAAAGAATTACACCGCAGAGATTCTTGCCGGTTCTTCTCTGTGCAGGTCTAGTTTAGTGAACCGGTGGTACATTTTTTGTTGACGTTCAATAAGAGCTTAAGTTAAACCTACATTGAATAAAGATACTTTAACTTTTGACTTTACTGTCATAATAACCGCCTGCACGCTTGCCAACTTTTCCCAAAAAAAAAATTAAAAAAAGAAATCAATGTATACAGTATGAAGTAAGTAGTGAACATGAATGATTCACCTTATATTTTTATATATGTTCCAACGACACACACAAAAGGGAAGCGAACTAAAGAATCCAACGAAATAAAAGCAACAACACAAGACACATTGCCCGTTCGTGATACTAAAGCCCTTAAGGTTCCGAATATCCTTTTAATGGCTTGTCACGGGTTCGGATAAAAAGTGGGCTATAAACAAATGGGTGCTTTAAAACTTTAACGCGCGGATTGTACATCGTCACATCTGGTGATAAATCCGAAAGTGACGATTCCGTGCGACGTTAAACCGGGATCAGTGGGCACGGCCGATCCGTGGGCCGTTTACGAGGGCCCACTTTAAGGCCTAGTAGACATTTACGGCTCGGTGGCACCGTAAAACGGCGTATGGCCCCGTTTAACGTTTAACGCGCGATTCCGGGCCATTATTAGCGGAGGCCGTTCCGAAATCGATTGGCGCCGAAGACGCGACCCTTACTCGGAACGCTTCTGCCGCAAACTTTGAGGATTATTTACGGGAGAAACTATTGCTTCAGTCTTAGTGACGTCTTATGATGACCCACGGAACTGATGAGACTCAGTACTTCACTTTGAGCTTCCTCATATGGACAGTATGAGAAAGCTCAGAGTCGCTCAGCAACCTATGGAGGCTATGCTCGGTATGTCTTTGCGTCAAAGAGTTCGTAATCAGAAGCAGCAGCCGGGTCATAGCAGTCTGCTGCAGTTTCAAACAGGCTGAAACGATGATGAGTCTAAAAAAAAATAACTCTCTTCCGTATATTAAATGCATTGGCAATCCGATTGGGGTACGCATCCGTAACTCCGTCGAAAAATACAATCACTGCACGCACGGGACTCCGTTAATCATCGCCCAAATGCCGAACCGGCACAGAAAAAGCATCGAACAACCGCCATTGATTAACGGCCCGGCAAACTTTCCCCGCGCTCCCGCCGTAAAGATTACTCAATTCGTGTAACGCTAAAAGCGAGCGGCAAACGAGAAAAAGGTTCCGGCGCATTTTTCAAATGAACCTCGTCGACTCGGACCGCGAAACTTCCGGAGCGCTGGCGCGGCCGCCTTTTCCCATCTGAATTGCAAATGGCCGCCCTATGACGGGTTTATATAAAACTAGAACTGTCCGCCAAACTTCGCACCGAACCCCCCCCCCCCCCCCCCCCGCAGGTGTAGAAACAAAAAGCGCGCTTTATAATTATGATAATCCCGGACGCATCTCGGATTGAATTTGCATGGACGGTATCCGTGGCTGTGTCAACGGAGCAAGGTAGCCCGATGAATAATGCATGCGCCGCGCCACTTACCTGGGGCATTAACATATTTATTAATAAAATAAATATCAGTCCGCCGCGCCACGGATCTTGCGCGGATCCACTGTTGACGTTGGGGCCCGCGCCAACTCCGCCGGATTGTGGCGGATTGCCCACCGAGACGGCGTAATGTATGGCATGCATTAAATGAATTGAGTTAGCGCTGTTAAAGCGGCGCTGTTCATTTGTCTGATGTGTACAGAATTAAAGACAAATGTCGCCGGCAGCAGGGAGCTCCTACAGCGGGCGCCTCGAATGTGTGGAAAATTTTTGAGCAAGCTCGGCGTGTACGGTAGCCTTGCATAGATTAGATTCCAGTATTAGCCTTCGTAGTTATGATATCTCTATCATCTGTCTTCGGGAGAACCAAATTTGTAACGTATATTAAAGATAATAATAAAAATATGATGGATAGGAATATATTTATATACATTTATAGAGGTCTATGCGAGGTTCGAGCTTTATACAAAAACTACTCAATTGAATACACTTAATTCTTTTTAAGTCTTGATTCTTAGACTAATATTTGGTACTTATCAATAATCGTATTGTAAGGTAATTTATCGAATTTTTTAAATAGTTTTAAGAAACAGCGGTTTTAGGCAAACTACGAGTTCAGTGAATAAAATAGAATAGAACCATTTATTCAAGACATAACACGACACCAAATTACAGATGAAATGAAGTATGTTTTCCTTCCGCGGACAAGTGCAGCGGTGTAGTTGTTAATTTAATATGAAACGAAGAGGAAATCGCGGTTATCTGAGCTATTACTTAATATTATAGGAAATGTGTTTATTCGCATATAATTGATAATATCAGAGAGTATAGAACCGATTCATGATAGTTTTTCACAAATCAAAGGCTACGGTACTATCGGGTGACTTGGCTTGCTTTATTCCAATGATATTATTAAGATTAGGTACTTCAAAAAAAGCTACGAAAAGCTGACATGTTTAATTATTTTGAATGTAAATTCTATGATAAGACACTGATCGTTTTTTTTTTTTTTAAATGTATAAAAAGTAACTATAGATACTGCTGTGAATATGTGTTATTGAAGTATTTAACACCATATTCCCTAAATTGTCACATGGAAAATCTGACGTAACTTAGATGTGAACGGTCCGGGGGTGCCGAGGCGAGCCGGCATTTTCTATATTGAATGCCGTTGACACATCTCATTTGTGAGTTAGTTTCGCGAAAGTTGTACACAGTACTATATTTTTGAAAGTTATGAAATCTCGCCATCTGCAAACTGGAATAATATGTTAGTCGCGCGAACGGAGTTGGAAACTCGTCGTCGCCGATGAAATTGTTAATTGAAAGTTTCGGTGGCGCTTTAGATACGCTCCACGGTGGAAGAAAATTACGAGAGAAAACTATATTTGTATAAAATCGAAGTATGTGACTTTATAAAAAAGTGCATTTGTATATAATATACATATGTTAGGACTTAATAAAATGTATCAACTACGACCTCTAGGAATAACAAATATGGCATAAGCTACATATTTATACGTCACCTACTAAGCGTGACGGATACCCCGTCCCAAGTGACAGATGTCAGATTTGGACTCTATGAATGAAGGAATGAAATACGCTTTATTATACACCAGACAAAATTACAAAAGTAACAAATAATTACACAAAGGTACAATTGGCTTAGAAGCGATTTCTTCCAGGCAACCATATACTCAACTTATGCGCTCAATATGATGGAAAGAATAACAATTGTGAATAAAGAAGTGAATCCAGACCGTGCATTTGTGTCCGTCATCAAGTACCTTAGTCCTCAACAAACGTATAAAAAAGTAAAGTAAAACAGCTGTTTATATCCCACTGCTGGGCAACTCCTTTGTAAAGAGGGTATTAGGGCATATTCGACCACGCAATCCCTCAGCGGATCGGCGGATTTTACATATGTCCGAAATGTTTTTTTGTTATCATGATGAATAATCATGTAATAAAATATCATATATGAAAATGTGCAGGTTTCCTCACGATGTTTTCCTTCACCGATGAGCACGTGATAAGTCAGCACTTAAAATTAACAGTTTCATTGGCACCAGCACCGGGGATCGAACTCGGGTTGCTTGAGTATATTGAATTAAAAGCTCCCGGAAAATGAGTTATCACTTATTTAGCAGTACTAGAGTTTGCCTACTGGTCGAAATTTGA